AGCCGCCTGGTCCGCGCCGAACTTTGGCGTCTCCCGGATTTCCCGTTGCGGTTCCTGGCCACTCGGAATCTTCGTGCTGTCCAGGCGCGGCTCCTGGCAGCTTGAAATCTCTGGCTAAGTGAAAGTACCGAGACAGATTGCCTTGTCCTTGTCTTCCAATGGAACCTTCATCATCGCCTGCGGATCCTGGCGGTTTCGAAGTTCTGGGTAGGTTCAGACGAGGCAAGCAGCCTGCCTCCTTGTTCTCCTCGACCGGAATCTCCTGCTCTTGCTCATGCATGTGCGCTTCCTCGCAGCTTGGAAATTTTGTCGATGATAAACTCAAAATATGATGCTTACTGAGGAGGTGGCCTGGCCAGCTTCCGTGTTTGGGACCTCCTGCTATAAAACTTGATTTGACACACTTGCGGATTCTACCAGAATGTCGACACGAGCACAGAATCCTGCCTCCTTGTGGTCCCTCATTGGAATCTCCTGCTGCTTGTTCACGTCGTGTGTTTCCTGAAAGCTTCAAAATCTGTAAAAATTGTTTAACACTTGCGGATTCTACCAGAATGTAGACACGAGCCCGGAATCCTGCCTCCTTTTTGTCACTCATTGGAATCTCCTGCTGCTTGTTCACGTCGTGTGTTTCCTGAAAGCTTCAAAATCTGTAAAATGTGATTTAATATTGCGGATTCTACCAGAATGTAGACACGAGCCCGCCGGAATCCTGCCTCATTGTTGTCCTTCATTGCAATATTCTCTTGCTTGATCACGTGCGATTCCTAGCAGCTTGGAGGTTGATTAATCAAAACAACAACACACACAGCCTGCCACTGCCTTGTCACCATCTGACGGCAGACCGCGATTTGCTTGGTCCTGAAGCTCGCACTGTGACAGTGGCATGATGAAGCTCCTTAACATCAGCCGGGCCACCAGCTCCCATCTTGCCGTCATAGTGTCCCAGTCTTCAAACAGTGCTTGGTTTACGGGTCCCATTTCCTCTACCTGGAAATCACAGTCAATCTAGCTTCAAGAACGTGGCATCATAATCCTGGCAAGCCCTTCGATGCAAAGAAAGCCTAACAGTGCTGCGGTCACAATCAGAACGTGTCTTAAGAGCAGCCGGGTAACAAATGAGATAGTGTTTCGGAATGGTGCTGTCTCAGTGGTCGCAGTGTCCTGGCCGTGATGCAAGCAAGTTGGACACAAACGGAAGGATTCGGCCACCCTGGCCCCGCCTCGCGTTCGTAGCCATCCTGTAAGCATTTCTCAAGGACGCTCTCCGAGGGTTCCTCCACGATCGTGTCCAGGACCGGCCTCATGTTACATCGGATTTGACATACAAATTACCTGCTGATTCGCATCACATTGCAATCAGGTCACCAGTGCTCCCAGAGTCCGTCGTTTTTCTTGGTTTTCTTGCCTGCCGGCTTCTTGTTGGGCTTGGAGCTCTGGGCTGCTGGGCGCTTCTTCGTCTTCACTTTTTCGTCTTCTTCGGGTTCATCTTCGTCCTCATCGTAGGAACCATCTTCGTCTTCGTCGTCCTCATCGTCCTTACGGTTGCCGCGCAAAGGAGCATGATCCGCGTCCTTATTCTTCTTCTTTTTCTGCGTCTTCTTCGGCTCCTTCTCTTCCTCCGAGCTGGTGTTTCGGACACGCGGTGGGAGCCTGTCCTTCGTGGTTGTTGCCGTTGTTGGCAGCACTGCTTTTGCTGAGCCACTCGTCGATTTCAAAGCAGATGGTCTTGTCGGCGGCTGTTTCGGTTCTGCGGGCTGAGCATTATGTCCTTACATGGATGGGTCTAATCAGATTCTATTTCATACTTTTCCGACAAGGTGCTCATCATTTCGTCCATATCGAAAACTGGACTTCTCCACTTCGGCTCGATGGGCTCCACTTCATCCGCGGACAAACCAGGCATGGTATGCTTGTAGACTTGCTAATACTGTCTTCTATGTGAACTCGAGCGGAGATGCTTCAGCTGAATCAATGAAGCACGAAGCATACAGAAAATCGCATGACACTGCTTCGTGATATTGAACCGGACTTCCTTATTTTTCCAAAACGCTTCCGAATAGGTCATTGCCCTTCTGTGTTCCTATTCCTGGGCCACGGGATTGCTGTCGGTCGGCTAACCAATCTAAAGATCTGATCAAATCAATACTATTAAGTATTAGTATAATAATACTTAATTATGGCTTGTCCGGGGCCTTTCCACTATGGAACTAAACCTAGCGATTCACAACTCTTCTGGAATCCCGGACCCAAGCGCTGGTACTTCCTTGTTGTTTCGTTTCCACATCATGTCCATGTGCACGCAGCAACATAGTGCCAAAATTGTGGATTCCGTTTACTTGGTCAAGCTATCGGAAACTATTAAAGAATTGTGGGGGTCAATCGTCACATGATCTTGTACGTTCCTGGGGCTAGGTCGATGGTGCCTGCCGTGACGGCCACCGGTCGAATAGGCACGATCGTGACCATTCCGTTCTCGCCCAGCTCCAAGCGCAGCCTTCCATGCGTTCAGATTTGGGTAGTTCGACATTATCATTGTTTTCACCGGTACACTGCATGCTTACTGAGTGACCGAGTCAAGGATAACCTGAAATCTACAAGATTGGGCCTCCATGCCAATGCCAATGACTCGCTTTCCTTGAACTTCGCAATCGACAGGTGCGCCCCGAACGACTTGCTCAAGTTTCCCATGGAGGTACGTCGGCGCTTCGGCTTTTTCTCCTTCTGTTGCGGGGGTCCGTCCATCTTGAAAACGAGTAACTCCTTCCCTTCGCCCCAGACGCGATGCGACGTTTGCCCTGCATCCTGAAATTCTCTGACGAGGGCCGCCAGTGTCACACAAGTCTCCATGCTTGGAATGTCTTTCAAGTGTTCGGGTACATCCTTCTTCTCGAGCAAAACCAGCGAATCCATCAAGTTCTCTCCGCCGAAGCTGAACCAATCGCCCAAAGCGTCGCTGACTAACTCTTTTGCGTCCTGAGAAATGCACACAAAAGGCGTTAAACATCCAGGCTGCAGTGCTTAGTCTGTGTGCTGTCCATGTCACGTGCTTCGTGCGCCAATCGCCACTTCCAAAGGAAAACCTGGGTCACTTCGATGAAACGGTTTACAAGTCGACGTGTCGAACAAGACATGGTTAACTATTTTCTAACGAGTCACACTTCTCGGTTCCTTAAAGCCTGGAAATTCTCATTCCCGGTCACCTGGAGGAAGAGGTTGCCTTCGGAGGCAATCCATGTAGCCTGCCCACTCATGTCAAGCTTGACGGGATTCGGCAGCTTGGCGACATCTTCCTCGGTGCTGTCGAACTGAAGATTCTTGTTGACATCCATCGTACTTGTTTGCCTGCCATCACGTGTCAATCGGCTTTATATGGCTGAGCGTCCTTATAAATTAAGCGTCCTTATAAATATGCCTTTTGGAAGCATCGCTTCTGCTTCCTGATTTCCGGTGTCGTGATCAAAGTTTCTTCGTGACTTTTGTTGATTTTCGCGTGGTATAAGCAACATTTTGCTCATGATGCTTCAATGATTATGATGATTTCAATCAGAATCAATGTGGAATCCTCAACAATTACTAGAGAATGTATTCGAATTAGTAGTATTAGACATGCTCGCTGATATGTCGCTCGCATATTTTGATGTTGCTGCAGCTGTCTGGCCAAATGTCCGAAGACATCGGGCGGAAAGCTCGGCACATAGCGGCCCAGTTGCACTTGAGTTGTGTGCGCCCTGATCAAGGCGAAAGGGTTCGCCGGACAGGTTCGCTAGCTCCAAAGAGTTCCCTGAAATACCTGTGTTGCAGACAAGCCTTTGCGTGGTGTGGTGCTGTTCATGAGCCCCGGTACTTTACCAAAACAGCTGTGAACCGTGCGCTAGAACGCCTGCTCGACCACTACAAAGTAGAGGTGCCGTTGTGTCAGGCTGACGGGCTCACTCGAGCAGACTGGCTGAAGAGGCAATCCAAAACGATACAGCATCTTTGCAAACGGTCTGTTAAGAACTCGTTGGTGCCACCACGTGGCAAAGAAGCCCTTGCAGCCATGGATGATGCGGAAACTCAGCCGTGGAGCACGGAGGACGAATACCGACATGCATATATAGGATCAGTGCATGACATATACTGCTGCAGGAAAGGGCTGCAGCGCCGGCTGCGCATGATGGTGATCCTCCTCCAGCCACCCGAGAGCAATATACATGACTGCTTCATGCAAGAAGTGTCTGCATGCGACCAGATGTAAAAATCAGGTCAGACTTCATCGCAAAAGCGCACTGAAGCGCAAGGCCCAGTACATGCATGCACCCATTTTCTAGCATGTATACTTAATTATGTACCAGCACTTATCTACATACGGTGCTACAAACGAGAAAAAAATAGACGACACAGCAAACACGAACTTAGTTCGGACACGAGAGGGAAATTCGAAAGGAGTGCGTATACATACGTGTAGAGATCCAGACATAGCTTGCATCGCCTCTAAATTAGGCCCTAAAGCCTGGCCTGCAAACGCTAATCGGAAACCCTGAAGCAGGTCATGTGTGCATCCAGTCTTGTGCCTGCAGTCAGTTGCACGCGGTCTGAACTTGTAACGTCATTTTTGCACCGTCGCCCAAATGATCCATGAACGCAGGCTGCGTCGGCTGAATCGGTGGCTACCTTGGATGCGCCCACGAGGATCTGGGGTGACTGGAAGGATGAGGATGAGGATGAGGATGCTGAGTACAAGGCCAGTTGTGCTACAGCCTATATAGATCACCAATGAAAACTACACTGTTATGTGCACGCAGGCTCTTTGCGATGATTCATGGATGTCTGGGCACCTGCAGGCTTGCATTCGTATACACATGTACATATACCATGCATGCGCCCACATGGTTGATAGTCATTTCTGCGATTCTCAAGGACTCCGGGGACGATGCACTGCACCATCCTGCAGGCAGGTTTTTATTGCGGTGATCTTTTAATTCGTGCGTATAATCTGATGTGTGGATCACACGCAGGGGAATGGGGTGACGATGATGGCCAAGCCGAGTCTTGGGTCGCAGACGCTGGCCCAGAGAATCCATGGTCTACCGGTGATCAGGATGACACGTGGGGCGAGGCTTCGGCAGATTCAGATCCCAAGAATCCGTGGCCTGCTGATGAAGGCTGGGATAACACGTGGGTCGAGGCGTCTGCAGATTCAGATCCCCAGAATCCGTGGCCTGCTGCCAGACAGCAGTGAGTTGCAGAGCAGTTCGGGATGTAGAGCCGATCGATGGTACGGGTTTATGACAGATCAGTACGTAGCAGCCGAATTGAGGCTGAGAAGAAGCCAGCTTTGCATCGACGAATCTCCTGGCGTGATGAGAATGGATCCTCGTTGGAGTTGCCAGCTGCCAAACAGCAATGAATTGTCAATATTGCAGTAGATTGATGGTTTTCCAATTCAATATAGATCAGCAGCAGTACTAGCACTGCCGAAGGATGTGGCTATGGATCCTGGCCAGACAGAGCCGCTCGGAAATTTTGCTGTTGTCAGTGCGACGACACATATACTGCATGATCTAAGGGAGTGGCCGATGGATGAGAACGAGCACCCAGATGATCAGGCCACCAACCGCATATAGCATTAATTAGCAACATGTCGGTGTCGATCTGCAGTTACATGAATTCGAGCAGGAGCATCTGACCAGCAGGCATCGGCACAGCAGCAGTAGCAGTAGTGGTGGTAAGGATTTCCCGGACCCCACCAACGACGAGATCTACGAGAGCTTCATCCAGACCATGGGCATCGACTTGGACGAGGAGGCTCAACTGCACACGCCTAGCTTCCGCACAAACAATACAATTGCCGTTGATTTGGTGCAGGAGCAACCTGAGCAACCCGACGAAGGGCAGAATGATGATTTGGTCAATCACGACATGCAGGAGGCCAAGGAGGCGCATGCCACCGAATCGAGTGATCCACATGCATATGCGCATGCAGGTTAGCTGTGTGTATATATATATATATACAGGTTTGTATATGGGTACATGTATCATGTCGATGTACATATAGGCAGCGAAAGACAAGACCCGAGTCACGACGGAGCCCGAGTCTGGTCAGCTTTAAACATGGATGTCTTTATATGGAAGGGAGTGACAGACATAGACGAGAGAGAGAGAGAGGGAGAGACAGACAAATAGAGAGTCCAAGGAGCCGGTACATCCATTTCCTGGCAAGCCGGATCGTTCGACCCGGCCGATCAATCCCCATGCCCAGAGGCTGGTGCTGGCCAGCAAGCAGCCAGTGGAGTATCAGAAGCCCAAAGGAAGCCCAAAGAGCAAAGCAAAGGCCAAAGCAAAGGCGAAAGCAAAGACCACCCCCAAGAAACCCAAGGCAAAGGCCAAAGCAAGGACCAGACAAGATGGAAGCGTAACCCCCTACACAGCCGCTTTTGAGTCGTTCAAGGAACAGCCACCAAGCCGCACATAGATGCTCAAACGATGTCGCTTCAATTCGTTTCGTGGATTCGCAATCATGGTGTAGCTTCGAGAATGAGGCTTTTGGAGACCGAGCCGGACCTCAAGTTGAAGAACGTGAGGGATCGGTGCCTTGTCGGCTTATACACGTGTGCTGCCATTCCTGCTCTTGTGTGCTTAGACGAAGCATCCAAGGTGGTGGGTATCGGATGAGCGTACGACTGTCCTCTCCACCATTCCGATTAAGGAGCAGAAGAAGCGCCGCTATATCTAGAATCTAGATGAGATGACGAGTTGCATGGGGCAGGCTTAAATTTTGATGCACCGGTAATCCGTCGATCTTCAATCCTGCTTTGGCATTGCAAGTAACACTCTTTCATTGCGACTTCAAGCCGCCTTTGTGTCGTCACATTTTGTTCCGGTCACGAACGACTGCGAGATATCTTTCAAGTAGATCACACAGCTGCCGGGGGTTAGGCGAAACAGTGAGCGACTCCGATATAATGTCATGATCCTTCGAATCAGGTGCCGATCGGCATGCATCCAAAGCTTGTGTCCATGAATGCGTGCATGCAGTCGGTATATTTCGCAAGCTAGATGCACCAGCCTGCCTGCATGTGTGCACGGTCTCCTGTGTAACTAGGTCAGGCAAGCTTTCTGAAACTAGCACCAGTGCCCAGCTTTACATTGAAAACGTTTCAAGTCGGCAAGCATGCGTTACTCCGTGCTGGCCTACATCCTCACGAGCCTGAATGCGAGCCAGATACCCAGCTGCTCCACATCAGCACTGCAAGTCGATGCCAGTTATGTACGAACCTGCATGCAGGTTTGCCATTGGAGACAGACAAGTATGTCCACCTGGTGGAGTTTTTTGCAGGCCTCTTGCCTGCATGCGACACAATTAAACCAAACAAACCCTTTCAACTACGCAGTCCGGCACATATATGTGAGGAACTGGAACACTGGCGGCTGCTGCTAAATCATTGGGCCTGGCTTCGAGGACTTACGATGTGTCGTTTCGGCATTATACAAGCTGCGGTTGAGTTGTTCGAAACAAGTGTGCTCATTGCACACACGTGCCCGAGGTGATCGAATCCCCCCAAATGGATCTCTGCAGTGGCTTCGGCTTTCTACTGGCATTGAACCTCGACGCTCAGATTCCAAAGCTTACGGAAAATACAGCAAAAGACCGAACACCGAAACTATATATCTAAGGTTCGCCACACCATCGAAGGCGGCCTCGTCTTCTTTGCGATTCCCTGCTCGAGTTGGGTCTTCATGTGGTAACCTCAGATCACGCAGTCTTAACTCTACATACAGGGGCGGCCTTTGTTTAGAGAATACAGCTACATGCGGGTTTGGGCTAATGGAACAGTTAGTTCCTTGGGTTAAGAAGTCGGAGCTTTACTGTATGTGTGTACGAATTAGGTCTCAATTCTGGTGCTTCCTGACTTTTGTGGGGCTTTGAAGGGGTCGTGTCGGTTCTTGGAAGACTGTGACATTAGAGGGTTGTACTCTGGGATTGTTGCAGGGCTTTGGGCTTGTAACAGTGTCGCAAGTATGTTCTGACACCTTCTGCTGTTTTCCGGGGTGTTGATTATGTAGGGCGCACTAACCGCACCAGGTTTCGGGTTTATAGGGCTGCAGGAGTTTAGGGGTGCAGGGGTTTAGGGTTGGGTGCACGGGTTTATAGGGGTCCCGGGCTTCGGGTTTAGATCTTATAGGATCCTCAGAATAAGGGTTATGCAGGCCCTGGCTAGTGTATCTTTTGATTGAGTTCATTGTTGGGCTTGAGGGTGTGTCTGTGTGTGTGCATGATAGTGAAAATTCAAGGGTGTGGCAACACGTGCCACATAGGCTTGGGTCACATGACGGCAAACACATGCTATCTGAGTTTCCAATCAGGGCTATTGGGAAAAGCGGTGGCTGTATGGGGTTTACATGGTTGACGTATAGGATATTGGGCATCATCTGGTACAACAGCGACGCTGTTGGGGTTCTGTTTTTAGTTCATATGCTCTTCGGAGAAGTATGCATGTGCATAGAACATCGAAAACGTCAGATTCTGAGGTCCTATCTAGGATTTGGGTTGTTCGAGACTACACATACACCGATCAGATCTATAGCTGCGATTGTTTGGGTTAAGTGTGTAGGGTTTCCGATAGATAGTGTGCATGTTCAAATGCAACCACCGAAATCCTGCCATCTTGAAACAGCCGGGAACCCCGAAGTCAATATAATGAACGGTATAATTGAAGGTCCTAGACATGTGCGATTTTAGCAGCACTCGGCAGCTCACAAAGCAACATCGTACTGCGGCACACTCGAGCTACCATTATGCACTGTACGCAACGCTATTGCAGCTACGTGCAACACTGTGCGCAACGCTATCGCTACCGCCGCAGAGTTACCTGAGCACGCATGTAACGTTTGGCCGGCTGCTGCTATCTGACTTAAGAACGAAGGAGGCTACGTGATGAGCTCATTCTGTGACGAGCTCCGGCAATAAAGCCGCACAGAGGGTGCTGATTCATTAGCTCATGGCCATGTGCCGCGGTTGTGCGATCTGTCTTGATGAAACGATGAGGCATATGACGACTTCTTTTTTGGGGGGTCTACGAGTAGTATATACTTCGGGGCATTGGGATGTGGGTGCACGGACGACTATAGCTGAGTGCATGGCCGGTCAACACTTTGCAGTATCTTGAATGATTCCCAGGTTGCCAAGAGATCGTCCATGCTATGTTCTTCATGGTTGCCGCGGGATCTGCGAGTCATGACGGACGACTTATGATTTATACGTGCAACACTGCTAGTGCAGCAAAGCCCTCAGCAAATCAAGATGGGAAGACCGATTCCGCTTTGCATGGCATTGGTTGAGCGATCTGCGAAGACAAACAAGGACGGACGAAGGCGACTGATCATGAACGCATCCGGATTGCGATTTGAAAACATGTTCTTAATTGCTGCGTCACTGCATGGCAAGCATGAAGATCTCGCGATTCCGAGCATGTTCCATGGCCGACTGCATGGCATGACCGCATTCGCTTGCCGTTGAATGTCGCATGAGGCGCATATATTGTCACTCGCGCGACCACAACACATATTTTTGTACAGCGCGTCCATCTTGGAGAGAGACATAAATACACCGAAGCAAAACAAGTAGCACCGTACCGGCATGCATGTATAACTCCTTAATCCTCGTATATAAATATGTACACACATACAGAAGACCTATTTGTACATACCCACACCCTCCTATTACCCGCAGTAAGAAGAATAGTGGTTGCACCATGCATGTGTGTATGTGTACATATATTGCTACATTGATGTCTACACATGCATGCATGGACCAGCACATTACATATATCGCACATAATATTAGTTAACACACATAGATACATATACATAGGCACACAATTGTGCGCCTATGTATATGTATTTATGTGTGTAAAGAAACATCCACCTAATGCTTGAGTCTCTCTGCATGGTCGGCCAAGGTCGCGGGGATCATCGAGAAGATCTTGGCTGCGACCGCAAGGAGCAGTGTCGGCAGCATCATAGCAGTATCTCAGCTGGGGGATTTCGTGTATCGACATCTGCAGGACTCGGCAACAAATGTGCTATGGGCAACCGCCTCTGTCGCCGAATGTGCTATTTGCTCCTAAGCAGCATCATATAGTAGCACCGAATTAAGAACCGATCCACAATACTGCGATCCTCATCTAAGGCTGAAATATGCACTGGCCAAAAAGGTCAACTTTGTCATTGAGAACCCCAGTTCGACCTTGCTTTGGAGATATGTGCCTCTCCGGGAGCTTTGGCAAAGAATGTTGCGCTCCATAGTAGCATTTCAATCAGTTCGAATTGTACCAGCTGTGGTGGATCATTTTGTGTCTGCAACCGAGAAGCTGCTTCGGAAGATGAAGTTCATGAAAGTGACCATACACCTGGGATGCTATGGGTCGGCAACCCCTGAGGCTGCCCCCAGGACGGCAAATGTGTTTGAGAGGTTCGGGATTCAGCTGTGTGCCACATCAAGACAATTTGTCTTATCTGAGGTCACGTTGGTTGGAAATTGGGAAGGGCTCCGACAGCTTCGGAGGACCTTGCACAAAGAACGCAGGCTGGGCACGAAACCTCCACTTTGACGAACCCAGTAGATCCTATCGGGTACCTGAAGTCTAAGCCATATGTCAGGTGCCATCTGCGACGAGTTCGAAGCTTCCTGAAAATCCAGAATGTAGTCCGTTGGAAGAATGCCAAGGGGCAGTCCAAGTGCGCCGGTGTCTCATGCAGAATATCAGGTCCTTGCAATATATGGCTTTGAAGCTCTAGCCGTGTCTTAATGATAGCACACTTGGGCTGGCCTTATAAGGCCGGAGGTCGAGATCTCGAAGCTTCGAAAGCCTATCCTGCTGGCTTTGGCATCGAGGCTCCGGTGGCGATGATGATTTGGGGGGGTCTAGCTCTGCACTGGCGATCTCTCTCTCTCTCTCTCTCTCTCTCTCTCTCTCTCTCTCTCTCTCTCTCTCTCTCTCTGTCTCTGGAGCACCCTTGGTTTTGCTTCGAAGGGACGTGCTCCGTCGGACTTCTGCCGGGAGTCATTGCATGAAATAGTTTAATATTCATGGATCACGAGGACACAAGAACCACGACAGCTATAAGAACCATCAAGTCGTTCTGAGTTCGTGGGAGAGCAAGAGTTAATTTATATCCCGGAATCACACTATATGCTGGGGCGACCTCAGATGATCTCCAATTCTCCAATGTTCTCCTCGTACATCACAAGACTCCGATGGCATAAAGCACCGCTGCTTAATCCATAGTGTCCAAGCTAATGTCTGTAGTTTGGGGCCCCAGATCATCGAGACCATGGTCATAGGCAGCAGAACGCGAGTGAAGCAAATCGATGCGCTCGTGCACATCCATGAAAGACCCCACCAAGTCCTCCTCAAAGGACTCTAGACGCGATCGCAGAGAGCACACTTCACTCGATACTTTATCCAGCCATGACCGCAATCTCGATAACTCTGAAGACAAGCAATTGAGCTGTTCTACCGCTGTAGTGACGACGACCCAGAGCGCACTTAGCCTCTCAGCTTCCGTGGCATTATAAGCGGCGGGCTCTACTGCACGGGCCATCTACCGACAACTCATGCTCGAGCTGTCACTTCTTCGGTTCAACATGTCAATAAGAACTGTCCGATGCCTCTGGAGCTCTCTCTCTCTCTCTCTCTCTCTCTCTCTCTCTCTCTCTCTCCCAAAGTAATCTTGCGCCAGGTGGCCCGGATCTTGCAGTCGCAGTCGCAAGAGCTGCAGATAAGGATCCGTCCCGATGATGAGCTGCTTTTCCGTGATGACTCCTCCGAGTGCAGTTCAGACAGTGGATTAGACAATGTCATGTGAGTTCTGCGAAGCTTCGCACTGCCGGCTGTTCGGACATGTGTGTGTTGCAATTTATGCATACATGTGCAGCAGACTACCATAGCTAAATTTTAAAGTAAATCTTCTCAACAGTCTTCTTTGCTGATTGTGACGGCAGCCAGCTATTGCTAGAGCATGCCAGCTGGATCTGACTACAACCTGCGAGTTGAACAAAGTTCCCAGACGCTGGCCACAGTTCTGTTATTGCCTGGTTGCTGCAGACAGAGAGACAGCCAGACCACAAGACAGACAGAGAAAGAAACAGATCAAGAGACTTGAAGTGTGTGCGTGTGTGTGTTCCATGTGCTGCATGCATGCACTCACGTACAATCGATCGGCAGCCTACACGAATGCTTCGATTTGTGCTGATGTGGGGGCCTGCTGCTAAATAGTGTGCGTGCTTTGGGGCCTGCACAAATGGGCAAGAGGCAGGAAAAGGCACGACTCGAGCGTTGGGCTGCGGCGGCCGGGGCGGGACGGGGTCCGGAGAGAGCGTGCCTTTACGTGCCTTTTCGTGCCAGCGTCCTTATATGGGGCCCAAAAGCGTGCCTTTGCGTGCCTTTTGAAATTGGCCCCGGAGCCGACCGCGGTGGGTTGGGATTGGGTGCGTGCCTTTCCGTGCCGTGTGGGATCAAAGGTTTTCCGGCGGGGTTCGTCGATCAACATGGCGCCCAAACGTGCTGCAGAGCATGATAATGAGGGCGACGCTTGGAAGATGCCGCGGACCAGCGGCTGCGGCGGCCAACTAAAGGGAGAAGGGTCCGGCAAAGGCAAGCCGAAAGGAACCTCCAAGAGCGCAGGAGCAACGGAGCAACCCAAGGGATCCGGCAAGCAAGGCAAAGGCACTGCAGCAAAGGGATCCACCAAGAGCGCAGGAGCAACGGAGCACCCCCCAAAGGGAGCCGGCAAGCAGAGCGCAGGAGCAACGGAGCACCCCGTTAAGGGAGCCGGCAAGCAGAGCAAAGGCACAGGAGCAACGGAGCACCCCCCAAAGGGAGCCGGCAAGCAGAGCAAAGGCACAGGAGCAACGGAGCACCCCCCAAAGGGAGCCGGCAAGCAGAGCAAAGGCACAGGAGCAACGGAGCACCCCGTTAAGGGAGCCGGCAAGCAGAGCAAAGGCACAGGAGCAACGGAGCACCCGACAAAAGGAGCCGGCAAGCAGAGCAAAGGCACAGGAGCAGCGGAGCACCCCCCAAAGGGAGCCGGCAAGCAAAGCAAAGGCAAGGATGCACCGAGAGCCCAGGAGCAACGGAGGACCCCAACCCCTCAAAGGGATCCGGCAAGCAAAGCAAAGGCAAAGGCGAGCTGAAGGGATCCACCAAGAGCGCAGGACCAGAAGAGCACCCACCCCCAAAGGGATCCGGCAAGCAAAGCCAGGCTGGTGAGAAGGTGGAACTCCGGAACCTCAACCCAGAGTCGATGAAACGATTTTTCGACACCGATACATATGCATCGGCAAAGCCTAGCTCAGCAGCACCCAAGGGATCCGGTAAGAAGGGATCCACCAAGAGCGGAGGACCAGAGGAGCACCCGCCAAAGGGAGGCGGCAAGCAAAGCAAAGGCAAAGGCGATCTCAGAAGCCAGGGATCCGGCAGCGCAGGACCAGAGGAGCACCCCACCCCAAAGGGATCCGGCAAGCAGAGCAAAGGCAAAGATGCAGCGAAGGGATCCACCAAGAGCGCAGGGCCAGAGGAGCACCCCAACCCCTCAAAGGGATCCGGCAAGCAAAGCAAAGGCAATGGCGAGCTGAAGGGATCCACCAAGAGCGCAGGACCAGCAGACCCAAAGGGATCCGGCAAGCAGAGCAAAGGCAAAGATGCAGCGAAGGGATCCACCAAGAGCGCAGGAGCACATGAGCACCCAAAGGGATCTGGCACAGCTGGCAACAAGGGCCACAAGGGCACGGCTTTTTCTGGGGCCGGGAAGGGTGAGACAAGAGCCTTGTTGAAGGCCGTCCACGAGGAAGCCGCGGAGCTGTGCAACACGGAGCATGACCACGACGAGGATCAGCACTGGCAGCTGAGCATACACGACATGACCAATAGGGCAGAGATTGCAGACTCAGACTTCCAGAACCCCTGCGTTGTGCTACCCACTTGTGTTCTCGGCGAGTTGTCCAACATGCAGGCCAAACAACCAAGGCTGTGTCAGCAACGCCTAAGAAGCATAGCCAACAACAAAAGCATGTTCGATATGTTCAAGAACTGGCAGGCCCAGCACCACCCGACCCACACAACGGCATGGGGGAAAGCACCAGCAGCGCAGCTCATGCATCACAACAAGTTTCTGCTGGATGTTCTCCAAGGTGCCCAGCTTAATGCACTCGTGGGGGTTTATAGTTGCTCATGCACGCACGAACATGTCGTGTTGTGACTGCTGTTTCTGCTCTCTTCTCTCTCTATCTCCTCCCTCCCTCCATCCCTCCCTCCCTCTCTCTTTCTTTCGTGTCGTCTAGGGCTATGGTGTAGGGGGGTAAAACTCTGTCTCTCTCTCTCTCTCTCTCTCTCTCTCTCTCTCTCTCTCTCTCTCTCTCTCTTCGTCTCGGCTCTCGGCTGGTGGCTGGGTGGGTGGCTTAGGTGGGTTTAAGGTGTGAGAGACAAAGAGAAAGACCAGAGAAAGATTGAAACTTGGTTTCTGTGCAGGTGCTTTGGAGCCTTCTACCGAAGTCGAGGAGGCCCATGAGGGAGAGGATGGCGAGGAGGCGGACCTAGAGGAAGATGAGGAGGAACAACCTGATCCTGATGATGCTGGCGATGAAGACGAGGATCAAAGCTGGGATGAAGAAGGTGATCAGGAGGGCCAGGAGTCCGGTGACGCCGATCAGGGTGAGGAGTGGGCTGATGATGATGATGAAGGGATACCGACTTCGGGGTATCCGGATGATGAGGGTATGGATGTGGGTGCTGCCGACCCGCCTGCTCCGGCTTCCTACCCCAAGCCGCCCCCTGGTTGCACATGATCCGCTCGTGCATAAATATGTATGTGCGTGTGTATGTGTGTGTGTGTGTTAGTGTGCGACAGCTAGTTCACAGACACGGGTCAGGAAATCCATCCTGCGGGCGCCCTCCAGCATCAGCGTCCAGTCGGAGAAGTCCTCAATCAGCCCGGTGGGCGTGCGGGACGATGACGGCAAGGTGAGGAGGGCACGGACCCTATACCTATTTCGGTGCATGTGTTGCATGCATGCACCCCTCCTGCCATGAATCCCAGCTATAGGTCAGAGTCTTGGACGAAGCGACCCGGCAATCGATCCAGGACAGAGAGCCAGAGAGCCCACATTATCTCTACCGCGAAAGCAAGCCCAAAGATTGCACGCAGGCCATGACACACCCCAGCCAGATGGACGCCGGGGAACGTCGCCGGCAGCGCGAGGCCATGAAGCGGCGCATGGAAAAGCCTGAAGGAGAGCAGTGCTGCAGTGGTCGTTCATGATTGTCAAACAGCATATAGAGACTTCCACGCAGGACTCCCCCCGGGACTACTCGAAAAGTGGGAAGCAACCAGGAGCACCACAGGGAAGCTTCTCGGATAGTAACTTAAGCTACGCATGCAATGAGATCGCTATCCATATTGAATCCATTAATTGTGACTATCTGACCCTGGAACATCCTTAAGGTTCGAATTTTTAAAGGCATTTATGCTTGACCCGAATATGGGCGATATGCACATCGAAGCGATCTACAGCGAGTGCTCGGGCAGCATTGATCATTTGCTGTGATCCACATCTACTGAGTATCAGAGTTCACACGATCGCGGTTGCATTCTTTCAAGATCTATCTCAGGTATTCGGAGAAGCGGAACGAAGGCCACTACATCGAACTCCCTCTTCACGAACTAGAGAAGAAATACGGGGATACAGAAGAAGGCCGACGCTTTCTTCAAGAAGATATCCTGGCGAAACAGTCTGGGCGGGAGCATCCGCAAGCAAAAGGCAGTGCCTCCTGGAGGTTGTATAAGGTGTATGAGTACGGAAAGGAGATCAGCAGCTGTGACGAATTCAGAGATGTCTTCATACTTGAATATCTAGATATCTAGAGATATCTAGAAATGACATGAAGAACCACGAGAGAG